CTATCGAATAAAAAATAGTTGTCATTATTGTCCGAAAGAGGAAAAAGTTATGAAGGGATATTATCACCATACATAAATTTTGTAGGAGTTGTAAGTTTCAAAAAACACTCTGTGTAACACCAAAATGTGTAAATTGAAACGATACAGCAGCACCGACTTCGCATTGCTCGTCGTTTTGTATAACTCTCTTGTATTATTTGTCGTGGCTGCTTCTTCGACTTTTTGCGCAATACTATCGGTCCACGATCTTTTATCTCTTCTTCATGCCTTTTTGACTTGTCCATTCATTTCCTCGTATTCCATTTTTCTTACTCTACATGCTTTTTGCTGCTTTTATTCTAGCTTTTATGTCTTTTCTCCTCTGAATTAGCTCCCATATGTTCACCTATCCACTCCTTTATTTTCTCCTCTTTATATTGCCAACTATAAGTATTTTAGAGTAATATTCAAAATTTAATTAATTACCCTGTAAATGTAGTCAAAACTTTTAAAGATAAAAGAGTATGGACATATGGCATTATTTTATTTGGACACATTTTTCTTTAGTAAATTTTTACAAAAATACCCTCAGTACAAATATTTATTCATTTAATTCATTTCATAGAACAAAATTTATAAATATAATTGGAATCAATGACATGTCAGTATTGCACAATAGATTTAAAAGCAACGAAGTGTCCAGTTGCAAATTGAACTGACCCTTGCACTATGTCCATCTCGCTCTCTCTCTATAAACTGGTGAACTGATTCAGACATCGTTCCCGATTCTTCTACCGGTGGTTTAATTCTAATGCACTCAGCATTTTATAAAGAATATTTAAACCCCGGAAACTTGGTGAATCGGGGCCAGTCCAGAGCCATCTTGAGAGCCAGTTGATGGCTAGGAGTCTCACCAAGATTCCGGGGGTTTAAGTATTCTTTACAAAATGCTGAGTGCATTAGAATTAAACCACCGGTAGAAGAATCAGGAACAATGTCTGAATCAGTTCAACAGTTAGTGGAGTCAAGATAGACTTTGACTTTGCGAAAATTACGGGAAAAGAGAACTTTTTATTTTTCGCTTTGTAAAGTTGTCAGAAACAACATATAAAAAGTTACCAACTCTAGAGTGTACGCGAAATTATTTATTTAACAAATTAGTTGCAAATTACAGTTTTTGCAAAATACATAAAAAAAATTAACTTTTTTCGCTTCGTGTTGGTTTCCATGATGTCAGCATTTAGGGTGTGTGGATCATCACTCCTCTGCACCCGAGAGTATACAGGGTAGGGAAAGTCGCCATGGTTCATCAGCCATTACGTGAGAGCTATAAAGTAAGTCATAGAAATCCGTGCGATAGAGAAGGATGACTATAATAAAAGCGTCTCATAGTCACCGCCCGTTTCGCCCTTCCACAAATAAGATCCACTTCCACTTGTAATTCAGCGACCGGTGGTCATCTTTGTTTTCGTCGTTTGGCTTTTCTTTAATAGATGTCACTACTTATACAATTTCGACTTCGGTATTCCGATATGTTAACAGAGGGCAGCACAACGCGTAACAAAGAAAACTTTTTACAGTAGCTAGTAGATACCTCTGTTTGTAAATCTAGTGACCTTGTTTCTCCTACTGAGAAGTTATTCAAATGGAGTATAGTGGTCAGCTGCGTTTAAAGTTCATTTAGTTGTTATTTAAGTATACTTTTTAAAATAACTTAAAAATCCCAAGAAATAAAGCACTCTTTCTAGGGCTGCGCCTTACCTTAGACAAATTGTGCTGCTCTCTGTTAACGGATTGTATTAACATATCGAAATACGAAGTTGGAATTGTATAAGTAGTGACATCTATTACAGAAAATTCAAACGACAAAAACAAAGATGACCACCGGTCGCTGAATTACAAGTGGAAGTGGATCTTATTTGTGGAAGGGCGAAATGGGCGGTGACTATGAGACTTATAGCCATCCTTCTCTATCGCATGGATTTCTATGACTTACTTTATCGCTCTCACTTAACGGCTGGTGAACCATGGGGACTTTCTGACCCTGTATATCTATTCAATACTGTTTGTAAATTACTGATTAACTCTTCCTTTTCTATTGTCCATTCTTCTTTTACCAGTGCATTTTCTTTTATATGAGTGAAATTTTTCGAAGTTTACACGTATTTAGCGTTTTGAGGTGTGATCAAATTGAAAATGCTATCCATTTCTTTCTTAAAAAAATGCCTAATATATTTTTAAATTTTCTTGATGATAGTAGGCCGTAGAAAAGATCACATGTCAACAAATATAATAGGTATAAAAAAGTAGGCCCTTTTGTGGTACTCATATAAAAAAAAGAATTTTAGAAATCGGCCAATGCCATCCTAAATACGGAGGTGCACCGACTTTAAGTGAAACATACTGTATGTATATTTTTTTATTACTACTTACCTTGGTTTATGAAGCCAATTACTTTCCTTGTATGGTATATTGTTGATATATCGAGGGGCGATCCGCTAAGAAAAAAACGTACGAAGATTACAAAATTTCTGAAATCTCTTGTAATGTATCTGCAGATTTCAATATCGATTACAAAAAAAATTACAAATTTCATATAAATAATCAAGATTACAATATCTTTCAACCGATTACAAAACATTTCAGGAAATTTCAGAGTTATTTTAGTAGATTTCAATGATTATTTAAGATTTCAATAGGATTATTCGAAATTAAAAGAAGATTTCAAAATTTCTTAATAATATTTCAAGGAATACGGGAAGATTACAATAAGTTTTGAATGTCCATTTGAACAAAAATAATTGAATTAACTTCAACTGTCATTCATTTCATTCATTAACAGTAGTGCTTTGATTAAGAATTTCCAGTATCATTTTTACGCAAAAATTGTAACATTCTGATTAAGTTTTTGTTCGAATGAACGTTAAAAACTTTTTGTCATGACAAAAATGATAACGCCATTTTGAAAGTAGGTAAGTATATATTTTTATTGAAAGATAAAAATATAATAATCCAATAAACTAATAAAAATAAAAAAAATAGAAGTAACATAAAATAAACATTTTCCCAAAAAATAAATAATAAGAAATATTTTAAGCTTTTATTAACACTTGTATTTAATACTTTACCTGTATACAGTGTATTTAAAAAAGACGCGGCAATATTTAAGGGGGCGATTGCCCAGATCATTTTATAAAAAAAAGTTCCTATAAACATACGTCCGCAAACGCTTCGTTACCGATCTACAGAATGTTGAAATTTCATTAAAAAAACAGTAAAAATTAAATTTCTCCAAAACCTCTTGATATTATAATGAAATTTTAGGCCTGTCAATAGCTATGGCAGACGCGTACTTTGCAATACAAAACGATTTTTTAGTCTTACCAGTGACTAGCTATTTTTAATGAAAAAAATAGGACCCCGCTGGTTTTTCTAAAAATATAATTTTTTAATTCCTTGTTCAATTATGAAGAAGAAAGCTTTCCTCAGATTATACGCACCGTACGTCACACCGTTATTGAGTAAAAAAATAAAAAACATTTTATTGCGCACCTAAACCCAATGTTGTTTTAATTGAGAAATTTAAATTATTGAACAAAGAAATTCAAATTATCAAATTTGATTGATTTTTGAAATGTGGTACATACTGTTGTTTGTAGTAGGTAATAATAAGGGGCTGCGTTTTAGAGAAATTTAATTTTTACTGTTTTTTAATGAAATTTCACATTCTGTAGATCGGTAACGAAGCGTTTGCGGACCTATGTTTATAGGACTTTTTTTATAAACTGACCTGAGCAATCACTCCCTTAAATATTGCCGCGTCTTTTTTAAACACACTGTATACAAGTAAAGTATTAAATGCAAGTATTAATAAAAGCTTAATATATTTTTTATTTATTAGTTTTTGGGAAAATACTTACCTACTTTCAAAATAGCATTATCATTTTTGTCATGACAAAAAGTTTTTAACGTTCATTCGAACAAAAAACTTAATCAGAATGTTACAATTTTTGCCCAAAAAATGCCTGATACTGGAAATTCTTAATCAAAGTACTACTGTTAATGAATGAAATGAATGACATTTGAAGTTAATTCAATTATTTTTGTTCAAATGGACATTCAAAACTTATTGTAATCTTCCCGTATTCCTTGAAACCTTATTAAGAAATTTTGAAATCTTCTTTTAATTTCTAATAATCCTATTGAAATCTTAAATAATCATTGAAATCTACTAAAATAACTCTGAAATCTCCTGAAATGTTTTGTAATCGGTTGAAAGATATTGTAATCTTGATTATTTATATGAAATTTGTAATATTTTTTGAATTGATATTGAAATCTGCAGATACATTACAAGAGATTTCAGAAATTTTGTAATCTTCGTCTGTTTTTTCCTTGGCTGATTACCCTTCGGAACACACCAATCGCACCATATAGGTTTCTGTCGAGGTTTCTGTGGCATTCTTTGGAAAATAAGAGGGGGGCGTTGTATAACGACTACATCGACGAAATTCATTAGCTGATTACATAGATTACAGCGAGGATTACAGATAAGATTACGTAGATTACAGATAGATTACATAGATTACAGATAAGATTACGTAGATTACATAAAGATTCCAGGGCGAACGTACGAAGATTACATCAGCGGATCGCCCCTCGTGATATATTATGTGAATACTACAATTGGTAATTAGTTGCTGCCTAGTTATCAATTTTTTTTAACCCTTGTTTGTAAATTGGGGGGTTATATCACTGGAGGTTATTTAAGTGGATAGGTAATGTACTTGGCGCCCAAGTTGACATAATAATTTTGAACCCAGCCCATCTCCACTGCTTGCTGGCCGGAGAATATCCAACTGTCATCTGACATTGACAGCTGTAGTTTATTTATATTTATTTATTTACGTCACAATATATGAAAGTGATTTTTTTTTTGTAAAATGCTATATTTTGGCATCACCTATAACCCCTTTAAATCCTTACTTTCTAAAATACCCTGTATATGTAAATTTTTTCAGAGACACGCTACCGGAGACCTTCGATTATGAACCATTTGAGAAGAGTGACTGGCAAGATGCAGAAGAGGATGAATGTAAAGTTGAGATTAGAGCAGTGAACAAATGTAACGTGAAAATCAAGCAGGAGTGCAAAGTATCGTACAAATGTGACACATGTCTTTACAAAACAGCACACTCTGCGAGACAAGAAAATGATTCGGTAGTGTACAAATGTGAATCATGTGAGTATGAAGCTAAAAGTAAGAAATTACTTCAGAGGCAGACAGAATGCAGTTCTAACCTTGTTGAGCATCAAGTGAAGCACAAAGCACAACTGTACATGTGCAACTTCTGTGATTTCCAAACGAAGTGGAGAGGCAGTTTTAATAGACATCATATAAAACACAAAGACTCAAGTAAATGTGATGAGTATAATTATAAAACCAAATTGCCACATAAGGACGCTTCACAGCTGAAGATGTACAAATGCGATGGTTGCAACTACGAATCAATGAAAAAGAAACTTTTAATCAAACATCAGTTGGTACATAAAGATTCTTCTCAGGTTCAAATGTACAAATGTAACGACTGCGATTACAAAACTAAATACAAGTATGATATCAAAATACACCAATTGAAACATAAAGATCCTTCACAGGTTCAAATGTACAGTTGTAATGACTGCGAATACAAAACTAAGTACAAGAATTACATCAAACTGCACCGACTGAAACATGAAGATCCTTCGCAGATTCAAATGTATAGGTGTAACGATTGCGATTATGAATCTAAATACAAACGTGATATCAAACAGCATCAACTGAAACATAAAGATCCTTCGCAGATTCAAATGTACAAGTGCAACGACTGCGATTATGAAACTAAATACAAACGTTACATCAAAAGACATCAATTGAAACATAAGAATTCTTCGGAGATTCAAATGTACAGTTGTAATGATTGCGATTACACAGCTAAACAGAAGCACCTTATCAAACAGCATCAACTGATACATAAAGATCCTTCACAGATTCAAATGTTCAGGTGTAATGACTGTGATTACGAAACTAAATACAAGAGTCACATCAAACAGCACCAACTGAAGCATAAAGATCCATCTCAGATTCAAATGTACAGGTGTAATGACTGCGATTTTGAAACCAAATACAGTCGTTGTATAAAACAGCACCAACTGCAACATAAATATCCTTCGCTAGTTCAAACTTATAGGTGTAACGATTGTGATTATGAAACTAAATACAAAGGCGATTTCAACAGACATCAACTGAAACATAAAGATCCTTCACAGGTTCAAATGTACAGGTGTAATGACTGCGATTATGAAACTAGATACAGTCGTTATTTGAAACAACACCAACTGAAACATAAAGACCCTTCGCTGGTTCAAAAGTATAGGTGTAACGAGTGCGATTATTCAACTGAACGTAGGTATTATATAAAACAACACCAACTGAAGCATAAAGATCCTTCGCAGGTTCAAATGTATAGGTGTAACGAGTGCGGTTATGAAACTAAATACAAGAAGGATATGAAACAGCACCAACTGAAACATAAAGATCCATCTCAGACTGAAAGGTACAGGTGTAACGACTGTAATTATGAAACTATATACAAGAGATATATTAAAAGACACCAACAGAAACATAAGGATACTTCGCAGAGTCAAACGGAATCGCACCAACTGACACATAAAGATCCTTCTCAAGTTCAAATGTACAAGTGTAACGATTGTAATTATGAAAGTAAATTTAAGTGTAATATCAAAAAGCACCAACTGAGACATAAAGATCCATCACAGGTGCAAATGTTCAGGTGTAACGACTGCGATTATGAAACTAAATACAAGAATGATATGAAACAGCACCAACTGACACATAAAAATCCTTCGCAAATTCAAATGTACAGTTGTAATGACTGCAGTTACGAAACTAAGTACAAGCATGGTATCAAACTACACCGACTGAAACATAAAGATCCTTCGCAGGTTCAAACGTACACGTCTAACGACTGCGATGAACTCAAATAATGGAGATGTATCGAGTGTTAAAACATAGAGATCCTTTTCAAATGCAAATGTACCGGTGTGATCTGTGTGATTTGCTAGCTAAGGTCTGCAGGTGTTAATTACTGCCCATCGCTATGCAAAATATAGTCAAAAGTGGAGGTATTTAAGAGCTACAAATGCGAATATAAATATTGGAATAAGATGTAACACATAACGCCAGCCGTGAAAAACATCGATTGAAACATGAAAACCTTACCCGAGCAGAATCCGGCAAGCGAGTTTGGACTAAAATTTGTAGAAGTTTCTAGTATTTAATTATGAACTGAAAAGTTTCCTGTTTCTCGCAACGTAACCGTTTGCCAATTGGCAAAATTGGGTTTATAATTTCGACAGATTGTATTATGTTAAATATGTACATGTATTTTAAATAGCGATATTGTAGACTGTATAGACCGTGTAGTTAGTAAAAAAGTTTAATTTAAACATGTATAATTTTTTAATATAAAACTTGGGAACTACTGACCATTGTGCATTTACACGGTAGCTGAACCATCAGATTTAAGGGAGGATAGAACAACCAAGAATAACTGCAGTAACTGCACTTTGTCTTATAAACTTACTTTGAAATCTCAAACGTGGTCAAGATTTAGGGTGTTAAAAGCCACCAAAAAATTTCTCCGCTGAAATAATTAGCCCAGTTACTGTAGCTGAAAATGTAGTAATACCTCCGAATTTTTTGTAACTGCATTGATTTTTTTCAAAATTTGGAATTAGGCTCGTCTTACCCCCCACTTCAAAAGTTATATATGCGCTAGGTGTGCTTTTTGTTCTTAAGGGGTGAAAATCACCCCTTTGGAAAAAAAGAGAAAAACCAAATTTAAGGGTTTTATGTAATCAAATCTTGTTTATTTATGCAGTATGAGTAATTTCATGTGCTTAACTTTATGTATCCCAAATTTTCAACCCGGAAAAACCTTTAAAAACCACCCTTTTGGATGAAAAAATTTTTTTCGACTTAAAACGCTTTAGTCATGCATTTTTATCAAATTAAAATTGATTTCTTGATTAAAAAATCTTTTTTATCGATTGCAACTTTTCAACCCTTACAAAATAAAGTGAAAAAATATTATTGAAAGAGTAGAAACATTTTAAATGTGCATTCGTATTAAGTAAACTTTTATTCCCTTCTTGTAAAATAATTTTGAATTGATTGCAACTTTTCAACCCTTATTAATGAATACTTTAAATAACTAGATAGATTTCACAGGGTCTAACGACATTTAGAGTGTATTCAATAAACAAAGAAATCTAAATACAAAAATTAGATAAATTTGGAACGAATACACTGAAGATGAATTTTTCGAGACAAAACGTCTGAATCTGGTTCGGGCTGAGGCGGTACAGTATTGAGGGGTCATCAAGGCTTGCAAAAAATGTAATAAAATTTACAGGGTCGTATTTAAAAAAATGAAATATATACAAAAAAGATCTAAATGCTTAAAAATTCTTGTTTGGCCTAAATTTTCCTAAAATTATCACCTATACACGTGTTTATTTTTTTGACGATAACTTTATTACTTTTTAAGATTTTTAATCGCACAAAGGCTCGTTTTGCAGGGAATTGTAAGGGCTACGTGAACTGTTGAGTTGATCTTTTTTAAGCCTTTCATTTTTAAGTTTGAAGGGCTTAAAAGGCTCGAAGAGGGTGGTTCTCTCATTCATATGATAACTTAAAATGTCGATATCTCGATTAATATTAATTTTAGAGGAATAAAAAATAAAACAAAATCTTCAGCAAAAACAAAGCTAAATTTTTTACTGTTTTATTTTTTTCGTGCACCCTTTAATTTTGAATTTACAACGTAAAAATCAAATTTTTTTCAAAAATTTGAAAAATTAACATTTTCAAATATGTTTTTTTTTTTGAAATCATGCTTTGTGAGCTAAAGGCCCAGAACATATTCTTAGAACATAAATGAAGAAATCTATAAGTGGATTGCATTTAATTTTAATTCTGTCGCCAAAGGCACTGATTTGTTTATTAATTTTTTCTTAAAAAAAATGAGACTATCATGTTATTTCGATCATATTTCCGTTAATTTTGATTCTAAAGAGTTTTAAAATAGCTCATTTTAAAGGTTTTTCAAAGTACTTTAAAAAAGGTTCAAACAGTTTTTTTCCTAATATTTATGGTTTTGGCGTTATTTAACGTTAACCGGTTCCAATTTAGTTTTTAGCTATAACATATAATAATGTTTAAAAATCCATAAGTCGGTTTATATTGCAATTAAAGAAAAACAAAATAATGCCATTAGATTTGTTTTTTATTACCTTTCTTTTTGTTCATTACAACTTTTTCGTTAAGTTATTTGCAAGAAACTGTCCGAAAACAAGCACTTTTTCAGTAAAAAATCAACATTTTCGATGACGAATTACTCGGAAAATATTGGATTATCCAAAAAACTTTATATAACATTTGTTACTTAAAATTGACTCCTCTATCGATTCCTGTGGTTATTTTGGGCGTAAAAATTTCCACCCCCAGGGCAAAAGCGCACTTCGGCACTATATAAGTTTTGTTCCTTGAGGCATTCCCCTCATTCAGTAAAATTTCACGTCAATCGGTTCAGTTATAAAGAATTCAGAGGTAAAAACCCTGAGTAACTGGACTAAATTCAAAATACATTTTTTTGTTTGGATTTTTTTGTAGAAAATACCCATTGAAGCGGTATCTGTGTTAGAGCGCCACCTATTGTTTGTTTTTAAGCCCAAAACAATTCAGAATCCTCATCTACCTTTTATGGCTGATAAAATAAATTAATTTTAATCAGATAAGAGATGTTTTGCCGTCAATTTATCGATCACGATTCAACTTTTCAAGCTCTCAAGCATCAAGATCATCCGGCTATAAGCATATTTTGCATAGCCCGATATTGGATTTGTTCTGAGACTAACAGAACATCATCCGGCTAACACACATTTTCCATTAGGGACTTGGTAGCTCGCGATATAAGTTGCAGACGTACTTTGAATATTTGATTTCGCAATCCACGTTCGAAGGCCTCTATATTTCACGAAATTACGCCGCAGATCATCAATCAGGGGGCAGAGATTCCCGATATCAATAAACGGCAGTAACTTTCGAACTCTCGATTCCTTTCTCAGATCGAGAACGGGAAAAACGTATTATAAAAAATTACTGGCAGTCCATCATATTGTGCAGAAAACTATATTGAATATAATCAATAATTGTTATCATTACGCGTACGCGAGATATTTAGATAAAATTAAAATTGTTAACATTTTAATTTAAAAAAAATGTCTATTTATCTGAAAAGAAAGTTTATAATTTTTAGAGTAAATTGGAAAAAAAGTGCTTATGATTTAAAATTTCTCATATCCTATAAATTCTAGCCTCCTTACTCCGTTAATTTTAATAGTAGAAAAAAACTAATTTTTATGTAAAATTTTATACTCTGCAACTTTTATAAGAAATTTTTTTATCTAGGTCTTACCCCTTTTAAGTTATCTTGAAATAACACTTCATTTATTATTTTGTCACCCCTGCTTGGGAGTTGAAAAATAATTACTTATTTATTGTTACTACATTACCTCAAACTCACTTATACAAAAAATTCAGGCAAGTTGACCAAAATTGAGATTTAAAAGCCCATTTAATTGGACTACCAGAGCCGCATCTTTAATTTTACTTTAAATACGCAAATAACACCGTATTTTAGTTCTATTGAATTTTCCTTAATTTATCAGCTGTATTTTATATTTCACGATTTTAATAAGATTTCTGACGGAAATAGAACAAGGAATTTAGCGGCCTTATCAACAGATATTTGACAACGCTGTTTTGGCAACGCCGCGCAGTGAGGAATTATTTACTTCCTAAGCAGAACTGAAGCCGAAAAATGTGGACGATGAATAGTTGCATTTGAAATTAATTTTAATTGAAAAAAAACCATACCTGCACCAGGGATCGAACCCAGAACCTCTGTATTAGTAGGCCAACGCGCAAACCACTAAGCCAACGCGGCCTCCGTTACAATGTTTCCATGATATGGCTTATATACATAATATTTTAAGATATCTAGTTGCTTTTTGTGTCGTAAATTATTTTAACAATGAACGTAATATTAGTAGTTGGCAATTTAAGTTTATTTGGTTGTGAAATACAATTTTTAATTTTATGATAAATACTTAATTGTTTAATGTTTTTAAATTATAATTATTTTATTTCAATAGTGACCTGAAATTTATATTGCAATTAGAGAAAAACAAAATAATGCCATTAGATGTGTTTTTTATTACCTTTCTTTTTGTTCATTACAACTTTTTCGTTAAATCCAATGGTTTCAGAGTTGTTTGCAAAAAAACTGTCCGAAAACAAGCACTTTTTCAGTAAAAAATCAACATTTTCAATGACGAGTTACTCGGAAAGTACTGGATTATCCAAAAAACTTTATATAACATTTGTTACTTAAAATTGACTCCTCTAACGATTCCTGTGGTTATTTTGGGCATAAAAATGTCCACCCCCCAAGAAGAAGGGGTGGGAACCACCCCCAGGGCAAAAGCACACTTCGGCACTATATAGGTTTTGTTCCTTGAGGCATTCCCCACATTCAGTCAAAATTTCACGTCAATCGGTTCAGTTATAAAGAATTTGGAGGTAAAAAACCTGAGTAACTGGACTAAACGCAGATATTTGAATTAAATTTGGTGTATGTAATATTGGATCAAATCCATAAAATTATGTAACAAAATTCTTGCGCAGCCAATATCGAAGTGCTGAATATTTTGTAAATTAGACAAATTCTTTTGATTCTCAACTGGAAATCAATGAAAAGATATCCATTCCATTTTATTTGAAAAATTAATCATTTTTGAATTATTGTTTTTCTATCTCAAAAATAAACTTATTATTACACAGTTGAATAAATCGAAGATGATTCTACAACTATTCATTTAAAAAAAATGTACTGGAATTTTAATACTTTAATTACTAATAC